TCAGAGAGGTCTCTGGTGTGCTGAGTGGAAATATGCTGAGAGGTCCAGAGATCAGCTTGACACGGTAACTGTTGCTGCATGGGATCACATGACCCTGACAAAATGAATCATGGGAGGGAAATCTAAGATGCCAAGTTGCATGTTGGGATACGATACAGCAGCACGGGCAGTAAATGTCTCTGAGCTGTACCTGACACTAAATAACAAATCCTTCTATCATCAACTTCCAATGAAATTCTCTAAATCATCCTCCATAGATGAATACATCCTATATCAGACTATAAGCGCATGCCACATTATTAGGCAAAAGTGTGTCCCTACAGTGAAGGGAACATATAAAAACGTCCTTATCAATGGTAACATGATTTCACTATTTTCCGATCGTGACATCGAATAACTGAGAAAGACCTGAAGTGAAAGTTTCCATATTAATACAAATGAGCAGAAACAATACTAGGCCTAAAGGCAAACAACGTAATATTAAAATCCACACTAAATGTCACCAGGCTATGCTTACATATTGCCGCCATCCAATACATAGAGAAATGTTCACTAAGCTACCATCTCTGCGCATGTATTCCCTAGAAGAGCCAGTGTCTTAGTATTGTCTGGGGGAACATCAGGCGGGCGAGGATCAATGACCCCGGCTGCTTGCTGCACTACAGGCTGAGCTGTTAAAGAGCAAAATGAGATTAGACAAGAATAGATTTGATTACGCAGCACCCCAAGATGTCTCCTCGCCCACACACAGGGACATTACATTAGGTAGAGTGGATAAATATCCCATTACTCAATGTAACTTTATCACACTTGCATCTGAAGGTGATCCGTCGTTTGGTCATTTAACACCCTGTGGAATTTATGTTATTTTTTTACAGCAATTATGCTTTTTTTTTCTTTCTGTGAGTCCTGGGTATACATGTCCAAAAGGAGGCCAAAAGGCAACAAATAGGCAATAATTACCCAAATACTAATTCACCGGTTTACTTGTTTGCATGGTTATTCAATTAACAGGATACACACATGCTAATTTAATAAGAAATCTATGCATTTGAGTGTAAAGAAAATTCTCATTTTGCTGATAGTTTGATAACTGCTTACGTTATTTCCATATTTTAGCAAATATCATGATATAAAACGTTGTTTATTAATTATAACAATTTAAATGTGGCAAATGTCCTTATGCCTCCTTACAATGGGAAAGGGCCAATGTGTAGTATTGAGGAGGATTTATTTGTAGAAATAAACTATATTATGTTTTAATTTGAGCACAGACACCTAGAACTAAGAATTGTGGCGTTTAAGTTAGCTCAAATGTAGCTCTTCATATCTACACAGGTAGTCGGCCATGTTGTAGTGCCATGTTTCTACAGTTGCCAAGAAAGGACAAAACCAAAAAATGGCTCTAGAGGGAATTTCATGTTTTTTTCGTAAAGGTCTAGCTTGAATTTAGCATCTTAAAGTGTATGACAAGAAACACTGTATGACTTCATACGCTTTCTTTTGAAAGGTCCATTTGAACGTCAGAGACCACCTGATTTCCTCTGTGTGTTTGGGGTTATGTGGATGTATATAATAAGCATCCACCAAGAGGCTTAAGGGTCAGCTGGGCCCATTAGCCTGTTTATAACCCTATGTAATGGCTATTTATTGGTTATCGCTAGCATAAGCCTTGCCTGGCAGCCACTCTTTCACTTAGCAGCTGAACTCTTAAACTATGTGAAACTGAACACGACTTCAGTCACAGTGGTGAACTTTTTTGTGGATTGACATTTACATTAACACTTCAATACAAAAAAGCACAAGTACAACTGAAAGCAAGTCAATTGAATTAAGTGTATACAGGCCTGTGAAGCAGCATGCATCTATTATCAAGCACTTTTCTAATGATAGCTACATGTTGAGTTTTATCTCTTGAGCGAAAATATCTACTTCTGTCCTGATCCGGCCTTTTCGAAGAGCCAAACTGACAACCCAGCACTTCTTATTTCTAGGATTACAGTTGCTTTGAAGGAAGAATATCGGCGAGAAAAATAAATACAGCCAAAACTCTGTCCTTTCATATCTCCTTCAATCTGCCGCTGTTTGCTGGATGCAATATCTAACACGATTTTTGCCAACTCGTATTAAATGAAACTCCAGCTCGAAACCAAGACATGAATTATTTAGCTCGCAATTTACAAGATCTGCTCTATGATAAATATAAACCGATGCGTCAAGATGTACGACTATTTCTAATGTCCGGTATCAGATTCGGCATCACTGTGTGTTGACAAACAGTTTACTACAAGTGGTGAGGGGCTTTTTCCACTTAAATGTCCAGGATAAAAGAGGACAGATGGTGCGAAAGACTTCCTTTCATATTCATTGCACTGCAAAATGATGCACTGGCTATATTTATGGGCTGATATCACCTCCTTAAGCTTGATTTGACATGCCGAGAAGAGCATTGGAGTACAGTGACCTCCTCTCCTGGGAGGTGGAGAGGTGAAGACTAAAGAGACAGGCATGCAAAGTTTCTCAAGGCCTTTTATATCGTCTTACATTGAAGAACAGGTGCCTGAAGCGTCAAAAAGTGACTTATAATGGGCACAAAAATCGGAAAAACAAGACAAAGTGGGTCAAGGAAAAGACAACATTAGCTACCAAGGGATTTTTCGAGACTGGTGTTCAACCTGACAGCAGAAAAGACGGAAAGAAAGCAGGAGATGAAGGCAGGGAGGGAGAGGATCTGGGCAAGTTGAAATGTATTTTTAGGAAGATGTTTATTTGTAGGTCTGTGAAACCAACCCGGGGTGTATATCTACCAGCCTTGCCATCTCTCTCTCTCCCTCTCTGTCACCATCTGTTGAGGTCTCTCAGCCTGTCACTGTGCTCTGGCTCTATAGGTGGGAGACATTTTGCACTAACAGAACAAACCTGAAGATTCACTGCAAAGTAACAACTAAACATGCCTGTTAGATTGCTCTTTTCTACGCTGTAATGTACCACAACAGTGCAGATTAGTCTTTATAAAATTAGGTTAGATCAAATGAGATTAGGTTAGATTAGAGTAGATTATCCCTAATGGTGGCACCAGCAAAGATTAAAAGGGTATGCATTGTTAGAAGTAGTAATATATCAGGGTGATTTTGAATTTAAAACATATTAGTCAGATTATTTTCACTGCTGACATTCGATCATGTGACAGATTAGATAAGGAGCATGCAATTTATAATGCAAGAGCAGCTAAATTTACCTTAAAAAATACATATTGGCGTTACTATACCAGTACACAGCATTACAAGAAACAACATGGGTGCAGTCACAATGTATTTTTACAACACTCACACACTGAAGACAACATTGTGGCAGGAAGTGACTGTATCTAAAGGTTTATCAAAAATAAATTAGAACTCTTATTGTTTCTACATATATTGTTAAAATTATCATATTTTAAATTGTTTTATTTTATAGCAAAAAATGTGTTTTGGATGAAGTCAAAGTTATAGCTTTTATTTTTATTTTGCCACCAGAAAATAACCTATAAAATACACTGAAATGTCTTCAAAATAATGGTGAATGTTGTCAAATAACCAGTTAAGCATGTATTTCTCTCTGTTTGTGATTTTGGTGAAGTTATCATACATTTGAAGGCGTAATATTAAATTGGGCCTTGGGTGATTTATTCATGTCAGAGAGAGTAACATTAGGAGTGTTGAGTTTCAGAAAAAAGTGTTCTGTAATATCTTAACCATAATATCAGGGTAGAAATGGTAAGTATATTGAACTTATAAACGACAAGAATCTACCTGACAGGTATTTTCTTGAGCTCCTGGATTTCTGCAAGACGAGGATCAAAGATGGCGACCATGGCGAAACAAACATTTGAACTACCGGTGCTGATAACTATCTTTCTAAACTGAAACTGGCTGGTATGGTAATTTATGTGTCAGAAAAACATCTGTACAATTGATTTTGAAGTGTTTTAACCTTTGCCGGTGTTGTTTTTGTCCCAGTTTTGCGCCTACAGACGTCAGTTGACTTTGAGCTCTGACAGCTAATTAAACGCACCTGTCGAACTCGTCCCGCACGCGGACGGGAATGGTAGTCGCCTAGGCAACTGACAATATCCGGCAAAAAAAAAGTATATTTATTTATTTATATTTATTTATTTTACTTGTATTACCATTGTAAAAAAACAATAAGCGAAATCAATCAGTGACGTACAAAATGATAACAATACTATACTTAGCTTGGGAAACATGTGACTAGGATACTGTTTATTCTATACATTTTATTATATTTTTGGAAAAACAGTAGTCCCATTTTCCCAAAGAATAAAAATAGTATGATAGGAAAATGGGTGTTTCTCGGAAACTACAAGGAGCACTAAGTATTTGGTATCTATGAAATCATAAAACTATTATTATGATGAAGTGTGATTTTTTAGCTTCCCCAAAGTATGTCTGTAGCCTACCAGATTTTAAATAGTTAGACCTCTAAGAACAGATGTTGTCGCACTTTTCCTTATCATTCTAAATATAGTCTTTGGGCAAAATGGTTTAAATCCAAATGACAGAAGGTAAGTTTCTCTCCTTAATTCTCCAGGTTTGTTTAATGTTTTTTAAACACCCTGATTTACTTTTGTGTATTTTAAAGCATAAGTTATTATTCAACTGAGGGGGAAAGGCTGGGGAGGGGGGTTTTATATTTAGACGGTCTTCGCAAGGCAATCGGGGGTAACTGAAAGACAACACTGAGAAAGTTCCACGGCCTAAAATATCTGCACACACAGCTCCCAGCAGGGCTGAAGTGCCAGGTGCGAGGACAACAGATGCCCGGATTCATATTGTGCTGTTTTAGACTTTACACAGTTAGGCCAGTGATTCGGAAACCAATACATATGTCATGTTAAAATGCATAAAAAGTCACTCATTAATAGTGTGAGGGAATGGGTCAATCTGTGCGTAATTACGCACGGCAGCACAAGCGCTCGGAGCCTCCAAATCCAAACGTACCTTTCTCTGCTGCTTCTCCCAGGCGGGGTCCAGCAGCAGGTCCCTGTCCCAGTCATCCTCTTGGGTCATGTACACGGTTTCATTGTTGATCGTGTAGGAGTTGCTGTATGTCATATGGGATTCGACAGCTGTCATCATGCCGCCTTTGTCAGGACTTCACGTCCCCCTCACTTTATGAGAAAAAAAATTAATCAGCAGTAGTCGACGCCGTGAGGGCAATAGCCACCTTGAGACGAGGGGTCTCGCTTTCGGGGGGTGAGACAGAGGTACCGGTGCGGAGGTGGTGCTCCCACTACCAGAAAACACTGCTGGCTTGGTGCTCCTTTCTGGTCAAAAGTGGCACACGTGACCGCACCCCAATAAGTATGGGAACCGACAGCTTGGGTATCAGGTTCTGACCCTAAAATGGTTTAAAAGGCGGGGTAGTCTCCTGCGGGCAGGGTGAACTGGCTCCTGAGTGGTGGGGAGGGACGTCAATAACGCCCCCTCCCAGCAGAGAGGTTTTTATGGCCTCTGCAATGCACCTGTTGCTGTTAGTGACCCTCAATTGCAAATCCTGGCCTGTGTGGTTTTAATACCTCTCCTAGAAAACAGCTTCAAAGAACTTAAAGTCTCAAAAAGATGAGTTCATGTTTCTAAAAATGTTTATTCTCTGAATGTAGCCCCTGGCACCTCAGGCAAATAGCTCTTGGCCTGCTTTATAATGCAACAACAGACTAAACCATCTTATTCCACAGGCTGCATGTAAATGAATTGTTTATACTGTTTATTTTCTATTATTAACCATACTTCACGGTGTTCAGTCTATGAAGGAACATTGTGGTATTCTGTATTGCTTTTCCAAGTACATATTCAATACGAATAAAAGAGATCCAGACAATTTGTATGAGAAAAGAAAGGTTTTATTAATGCATGCAGACTGAAAAACGCCTCAAAACATTTTAAGAAATACAGATCAAAAGGCATATATATGCATACACAACCTTACAATATAATTTGTGTTTATATCAGGATTTGTCATTCACAGTAAACATGTTGAGTCATCTAACAGTCATCAACTTAAACACTCCCATCCCATTCAACATTGTGCTGGTACAAGATTTCTTAGAAATGGGCTAATAAAGATAGCTATCCTCTCTAGGTGACACCTTATACCGTCAACGCTTGATGTGTCTTTGGAAACTAGGATGATGTAGATTATAATTAATCAGACTTTTAGATGTAACTACACTAGGCTTGGTCCATTAACCTACTTGAAGGATTTTAGCTACATGGGCCTTTTTGTAGTTACTGTGCTACTACTGGGTTGAAGGAATCAGATGAGTTGTAAACATAATGCTACTAAAAGCTAATATTGATAATAACATGGACCATGGAAATCGACAGCCTCTTACACAGGCAGGGGTTGGACAAAATAACTTGTACTCCTTACTTACTGCATTGCCGTCACACCCTGCAGCATTAAGAGTTTCCAATTATAATACCAAGTGTAATAAGCTTTGTAATACATGCAGGGATTATATTGATTCTTATGTCAATCCCCTGTAGATGAGGTAATGGCTGAGGTATGACTACTGCGTTCTAAATATAATATGAGCAGAGTCTGATACCTGTTATTCACATATGTGCTAGGAGAGCTAAAATATTCTCGGTCACATCGGTTAAACCTACAGAATCTCATGTTGCAAACTCAAAAAAAGGCAATAAGGTCTATGGGTTGTGCTCAGTGTGTTCCAGATGCACATCACAGCTGATACCTGCTGCAGGAGAACAGAGGGAAACCTGTGGGATCCCATCAAAACCACACAGTACAGAGAAGTGCACATAGAGAGCATCTGCAGTTCTTCAGCTGTCCAAACCACAGACAGGAGGTGAGGGGGGGAGCAGGTGAGGAAGTGGAAGTAAGGGAGGAGGATGCTGCAGCGAGCTGTTGGCTGTCAGTACTGTGTGTTCAGAGCAGGGGGGGGGGGGGGTTTGAAGAGATGCGTGGCTGCATTCACCCAAGCACGGGAAGCCCAGACTCGCAAGCACCCGGAGAGAAGACTTTAGTGAGGATCTGGGAGGGGGGAGGAAGAACACTGGAGCACCACGAGCCCTGGTGATGGAGGCCTGGGTGGGAGTCAGCTTTTTAACTCTGTATCATTTGAAATATGCATTCTCATTTCCAACTCATCCAATATGACTTGAAGCTCTATGTACTCATCTAGTTTAACACTTGTGGATTTCTGCTTCTTAATTCGTTTTTAGACTGACTTATGCAACGTAACTCCTTGTTTAGGTGGCAACAAAAGTATTGGATTTAGCCAACGAAAAGATTGTGGTTCTCAAAATAATTATGTTTATACCTGGAAAAAAGGTTAGTTAATTACGTCGTTTTTCGTAGTCAAGTACATACTAAAATAAGTCAATAATTATTGTTAGGGCTGTCCTTGTCTGAAGACATTTGTTTTCATTTGCTAATCTGTTGGTTGATTCAATTGACATATCTGGACAAATTGACTTAGGAAATCTTCGTAAACCGTGACCTAACCCATCAATCACTTGACTAATTGATTGAAAAGTGGACAGCCCTCTTCCTCCCCTCCCACTGACTCCAAGCGGACTTTTCCCGCTCCTGTATGTTGCTTAACTGTCTAAATATGGCTCAGATCGGTCTGAATTGGAGTCAGTAGAAAGCCTGGTGCATCTGATGGTAAAGGCTGCCTCTGTGTGTCAGTATCAGACTCTGAGGAGCACAGACAAAGCATTGGTATTGGATGAGTGGGCAGTGAGACCGGGTCAGTTATTCCTGACTAGAATCTAGTAATAACATCGGAAAACCTTGAAGTCAAAGCTGTCTTACCAGTACACCTTTCCTGGATTCTGGCCGGTATATATATATATATATATATTATTGCGATCAACTATAGTCCTCCAATATCAGGAAGGTGAGGCTAAGGAGCTTATTTTGACCTCCTTCCACTACCGACTCACCCTTTAATCAACTCATCTATTCATCCCTCTCCTCCTCCTTCTTCCCTCTCCTTTGTATGCTAGGCAGACACAAGTCTACGCCCTCTTGACTCCATCTTGTAGCTGTCAGAGCAACTGCCAGACAACTCATTCAACATACTGAATTACTTTTGGGGGTCGTGACACATACAGAGCACATATCCAGCTGATCCAAGAATTAGAGGAATAAAGCTGCCGTACCAGAAAAGTCCTATAGGAACCCTGGGATTGAGAATCTACAGGTCAGACTGGCCTCATACCTAGGCCTATCTTATAGGATGTTTCTGATTAGGCACACAGGCTGTGAGGGACCCAAAGGTGAGAGAAACTGAGGATGTATCACTTTAGGTGAGTGGGAGCTATTGGGAGTTAAAGTTCCCTTCCACAGCTGTGAGAAGCAAACCCAGCATTTCAAGCAAAGCGACTCGTCCAACAGTGAAGTCTCTCTGTGTGTCATGTAACTGAGTCCGGCGGGGGGGGGCCACCACACACACACACTGTCCAAGGGCACGCCCAGGCCTCTATGGTAACAAAGGAGGGTGGGAGGGTTGGGTCAGGTGGGTGGTGCTGGGAAGTTGAGTCCGAGCCAGAGCCACGAAACCCAGATCCAAGGTGGCGACGGCGGTGGCGGCGGGGGAAAAAAAGCGCTGTGTGTATGAACGGCGGAGAGGAGAGGCGCATAGGGGACAGGAAGAGAGGGTGAGGAAAGGAAGGAGGGAGGGAGGGCGGGAGGGAAGGGGGTCGGGGTGAGGGCGGCGAATACGGCGGTGGAGAGGATTGACTAGCGGGCAGGGGAGGGGGAAGGGTTCGTCCGCATGTGCCAAGCCTCACCAATCAATAAAACCCACATGCACACATCCATTCTCACTGTTGTAAACTCTTATCATTTGTAATTTGTATTTTAAATATGATCCCTCAGTGGTGTAAGGTAACTAAGTGGATTTAATCAAGTACTATACTAACCTTTTTATTAGATAATTGGTCTTTACTTGAGTATTTCAATTGTTCGCTACTGTGTAATTCTACTCTAACCTTTAGTTACTTTGCAGATTTGTATTAATGATATAATCAGCTCTTAAATCAGACTTTAGTTACACCTGGAGTAATTTCACAAGCTACCCTGCAGTACATAAAGTCATTCAAACTAGCTGCACCTTTACCAGCTCTGAGAACACATTAATGCATCAATAATTATAATCAAAACACATCATATATATTATTCTGAAATGGACCAATCTGCAGAATGAGTGCTTTTACTTTTGATACTTTAAGTACATTTTAATGCCAACACTTTTCTACTTTTACTTGAGTAACATTTGCAATGCAGGATTTTTACCTGTAACAGAGTATACCTACACTCTGGTACTTCTACTTTTACTTAAGTACAAGATCTGAGTACTTCTCCCACCTCTGCATGCCCTTTATTTAATAGTGAATGTACTTTTGCTGTAACAATGTACATTTCCTCTCTGTGGGACAAATAAAGGAAGTACAATTTCTGAACACACACTTTCACACTTCCCTTTATTCACTAGCTGGACAAAGGACCATGATGCTAGGCAGGACTTCTGAAAGGGGCCCTAGCCTCACCCTGCCACCCCCCCACCGATGACCCTGCCATTGCAGCAGAGGAGGATGAGTTACGGATTGGGAGGAAGGGGGAAGTGGTGATGGCGGAGGAGAGGAGGGTGAGGAAGTGTTTGGTCAAGGCACAGTCAAAGGAAGGGGCGGAAGGTGGGGGTAGAGGAGAGGTCAGTGCTTTAGAATTTTGGTTTCGTTTTTTTTTTTTGGTCATTTACCTTGGTGGTGAGGAGAGAGCGAACAAGTTCCCACTGCGGTGGCCTCGCACTAAAAGTCGTCCCCATGGCTCACGCCGCCACGCTCACACAGGTTTGCACGCTGGCCGCTCCACGTGGGCCGGTGACCTAATTCAGTTGAGATAGTTAGTTCAAAGCTGGACTTTCGCGGTGCTTTTAATTTCTTTTTTTGTTGTTCTTGTTGTTGCGGCAGAGTTACAGATTATCACACATGCAGGTCTGAGAGTAGAGTGGACACAAGAGACACACGGAGGGGAGAATTTGGTGCAGCAAGGAAGACACCAGACCAGACGCAAACACCCATCAACCCCAGAATCTGCTCCACAGATCAAAATGCACCCAGGCCATTCTATCTGTGTGCCTCTCCCCAGCGCTCAACCGTGTGCTGAATTGATGAAAAATCAATTTAAAGCCAGAATTAAATTGGTCAAAGCAAACCCCTTTTCGTTTAAAATGTAGTTTGCACCCATTTTGAGAGGCTGGAGAGAGAAAGGAGCACCAACCCGCACTTACCCTGACCAAAGAAAGCAAAGCTGGGCCAGCATCTACACCTGAGTCCCCCCGGGGTCCCCAGTCAAATGGGTCTGGTGGTCATTTTACACAAGAAAAAACAGATAGTGGAGAAAAACAACATAAACAAGAAGGGGAAATGTCCAAACCCTTTGCTTTCTTTTACCACAGTAGTCAGCCAAACATTCTTTATTATAATAATGATTATAGTATACATATTCTCAATAAAAAGCATGCCGATTTTTTATCTTTGTCGTCTTTTACTATAAAAAAAAAAGGCTAAATTAAAATACTTCTCTAAAAAAAAAGATACGGTCTCAAACATGGCAAACAAGACATTTCGCAAACCACATAATTCTACAAAGGATGCAACTGGTATGTGTTTGTGTATACAACACGGAAAGATTACACTGTGAGATGCAAAAAGTCACTTAACCACTAAAAAACACAGGGGTAGAGGGGAGGGGGGGGGAACAGCGAGGCAGTAAGGTGATTCAGAGGGGATGTCTGTGTGTGCATCAGACCGCGGCAAATAGTAGTCGCAAAAAAGTGATTGTTTTAAGTGACTGTAGATCCAAAAATGGGTGGGTGGGGTTCGCCCCTCGGGACAAGCTTGAGAATGCATACAAAGGTATTTGCAAGTCAAGCTGTTGTTCCTGAGGCAGCAAACCCCACCTACCAGATCCAATAACCGGTTTAAAACAGGCACTACCATTTTTTTGCAATGACAATCTGCAGCAGGTCTGTTTTTTTGGAAAAAAGTAGGACAGTGGGGGCAACTGGAAGACACTTCCCCCATCTCTCACGTCATTGGTGCTATCACTGTTGTTCCTGCTTAAAACCAGTGGCTGATAATGAACCTGTGAGGCTCAGATTGTGGCTTTTTAAAAACCCTTATGATATGAAAGAAATCATATACAGGAGTCCTAAAGCTTGTAGCCTTGTGAGCTCCATTTAACCCCCCCCCCCATGAAATGATTAAAAAGCACTTAAAAAATAAGAGATCCCTCCATTTAATGCACTCAAAGCTTATAGGCACATAAGTGAGCTTGTCACATATCATGATTCCTATCAGAAGAGATCCTTTGTAAACAGCTCATTCAGAAGTCAGGTGTTTTTTCCATTTACAATTCAGTACAACCCATGTTGACTTAAAAACATGTAAAACTAGACAAAAACATACACTATGTATTTAAAAAAGGCCTCTGGACACGTAGGAGGACTCAAAACTGAATATCTACAAATGTCCCGCCCTCCCTTATCTGCTGACCGTGTGCCTTTATCGTGGAGCAGGAAGTAAAAATGCTGACTGGGTGAAAAGTGTGGAATATAATAGACTGCACTGAAATTCATTGTGAGAGGTAGGCAGCTGTAGTTAGAGAGAGAGATGAGGCAGTGTCTTCCAGTGTGGTAGTTAGAGCACAGGTGGGGAAAAAGGGGTCGAGGAGAGATCCAAACATACAGTACGTATTATGTGTGCTTTACTTTGTTTTTACTGCAAGGTGCAGTCTAAGCTGCTGCGTTTGTGCGCTGCAAGGTCAGGAGCCCGCACCAATCTCTCGTTCACACCACATCACATTCAAGACAAACACCCCTTCCCCGCATAACACGTCAACCTTGGTTCTCTTGGACACAATGCAATGCAACCAGAACACAATATGTGTTTCATCTACATTACAATTTATAAACTCTCCAACATAAGGCAAAAAAGGTTTCAAATTAGCTGCCCTGACTGATCATCTAGGCCTCAGGAGGATGGCTGATAAAAATGTATTTTATCGTAGATTTGGCCATAGAAAAATCATAACTGGGTTGCGGAAATAAAAGGCATATGAAACGACCGACTGGGTCAGTCTAATACTGGCACAAGTGTGAGACTGGCACGATAAAAAAGTAAAACGGAGACGCACAAAGAATGCCCGTACCAAAGAGGAGAGCCTCCCTTTCATGGCTGCACTGTGTGTCTGCAAACAGGACCAAGGTTAGTCCCTCGTAAAGCAGGTTAATAAACCCAGGAGCCCCCAGTTTCAAAGCCCACCCCACACACTTAATCTCCCAGACTCACACAAACACACTCACACACATACAGCTGCTGTAAGGTGGTCAAGTTTGGGGAGCAGGAAGAGGGTTCGGGGCAAAGAGGGAGGGGTGGGGGCAGAGAGTTGTGTGCGACTATCGGAAGGGGGGCTCAGGCGTGTGAAGGGAGAGTTCGGGGCGGCGGAGGATGGCCTCCTTGCGCGTGGGCGGCGGCAACGGCGGCTCATACACCCTTGGCGCAGCCATGGCGGCTGCCATTGCCGAAGCTGAGGGGACCACTGGCCTGAGGGACTCCAGCGCAGCCACCGACTGGGCCGACATCGCCGTGACGCCAGGCATCCCCGACATCCCCGACATCCCCTGCATGCCCTGCATCCCCTGCATGCCCTGCATCCCCTGCATCGCCTGCATCGCCTGCATGCCCTGCATCCCCTGCATGCTTTGGAGGGCGGCCATGGCGCCCGGCGGAGGGTAGGCGTACTGGAACTGAGGATACTGCTGCAACTGCTGGTAGTACTCTGCATAGTACCTACGAGAGGGGAGGAGGGGGATACAGAGGGACGGTGGGGAGAGCAGGGTTTAGGTGGGAAGAGGGACAGGATGAACGACACAGTGGAAGCAACAAGAGTGACAAAGCGAAAATAGCGGAAAAAGAAGACGGGAAATCCAGCATTAATCAAACAATATAAATGAGCCTGCAAGACCATGAAAGCACGACTAATAAAAGTGGACTCCTAGAGGTTGAACAGTATAGTAATAGTGTAACATCTCAGCTCTCTGGGAATGCTTTAGAGGTTGAAAGGTGATGTCCTACCTGGCCATGGGGTCCTCTGCAGCCTCGGCTGCCTCTTCTGCCGCTCGGCCAGCGGGCGTGGGGAGGAGGGGTCGCCGCGGCTTGGCTCTCTGGTAAATGAACGGCTTCATCACGGGGTCTGGTAGCAGAGACCTCCGTAGCGGACTGCGATCCCGCTCTCCCTTTGCTGCTGCAGCGGCCGCGGCGGCTGCCACCTGCTGCTGGTCGGCCATCACCTGCTGGCCCTGAGCGAAGTAGTGTGCCTGCCTGGCTGCCTCAAAGATGGCTGTTGGGTCCTGTAGGGCGCTGATGTGAGCGTAGGCTTGCCCAGCGCCACCGTAAATTGCTGGAGATACAGTGTAGCCGGGGTTGACCCCGCCCGCTGAGGACATATCTAATCCATGAGCAGCAGTCAGATAGACGTGGGAGTTGGCCATGCTGGGGGTGTAAACTTGAGGTGAGTAACCGGCGGCGGCAGCAGCAACAGCCGCAGGACTCGCTGTCATCTGGCCGTAGATGTTGGGATTCATGGAGCTGTACATTTGGGTGGCGCCTGATTGTAGAGCTGCCTGATTGGCCACCTGTCCATAAAGCTGACTGGCGACATTGGCACCATACACCTGGCTGGCGAGGGCCCCGTACACAGCTGGGTTCACTGGGTTTCCATCGGTGCGTGTGCCAGTGGTGATCCCAGTGAGAGCAGCATATGTGGGGTCAAAGGTGGAGGTGTTGTAGACTGAATTGTGCACGCTCTGCTGGACCTGCAGAGGCAGGCCGGCGGCGGCAGCAGCGGCGGCAGCCAGGACGGCCGCCTGACTCTGGTACTGCTCCAGAGAGGGCTTTCCCACGGGACACTCTCCAGCATAGTGGCCCTGCTTCCCACAGTTCACACAGGGGATCTTTCCTGTCGGGGCCTGCTTGCTGGGCTGGACCTTGGACAGCTCCACGGACAGCGGGCGGCCCTTAAACGATGTGCCGTGCAGGGCCTCGATGGCCTGGAGCGCGTCTTCCTTGTTTTCCATGTGGACAAAGGCATAGCCTGCGGAAGAGGAATGCCTGGCTGTCATTGAGCGCAGGGACAACAGTTAGGATCGAAGTGGCATTGCCACGGGCACTTACTTATTACTTCTATGAAGAAATGTGAATTACGCCAACCGGAAACCACCTTATCCATCTCTACAACAGGGATGCAGGAGTTTTTGCACACTTTGACATGGTCAGACTTACAGCAGGACTCTAAATCTCTCTTTTTTTTTTACATTATTTTATATTGTGTATTCTTGTGATGTATGTCTTTTCTACTGTAGATATTTATATATTTGCTGTTCATGTATATTTTCTTATGTTTATACTTTATTCCAGCTTTTAAATATTGTAATGCCTTAAAGGTGGGGTAGGTAAGTTTGAGGAACACTTTTTGTTATATTCCATGGAATGCTCTTAACATCCCGATAGCAATGAATATCTTAAGTGCTTTGACTAGTATTTTCAAATTCTAGCGCACTCGAGCTGGTTTCTCCGAAATTACCTACCCCACCTTTAACACAATGCGCTGTAACAAAATACTTTCCCAATTTTTTATGAATTGAGTATTTATCTATCTTTCCATCTCATTAACTTTATAAATAAATATATACACAGATATAATCTCTTATCTGCCCGGTGTTATTTCCTCCAATTTTTCTTAAACCTAACCCAACTTGAGAGATGCTACTGGCAGTACTTTAAAACTAATGAAATGTTACAAGGGTCTTCGCTCACCTTTAACTTTATCACACTCCAGAACTTTTCCAAACGTCTGGAACAGCTGCTGGAGATCCTCCGTGGTGCACATCCCGCTCAGATTACCCACAAACACCTTGGTGGAGTGTAACGGCCGTCCTCTCGACTCCTCCACAACCAAATTGCGTCCGCGAAACTCCCGGCCATTGAGCTCCCGGATGGCTCTGTCGGCGGAGCCCTCGCCCTGCAAGTGGACGAAGGCGAACTGTCGCAGTACGCTGCAGCTGACCACCTGGCCGTACGGTTCAAAGATGGCCGACAGCTCCTCCTGGGTGGTGTCCAACGCCAGGTTGCCCACGAAGAGCTTCACTGTGTTGCTCTTGTCCATGGCGCTGCAGAGGAACAAAGAGGGAGGACTGTGGTTAGAGATAACAGACAGGATTAGTTAACACCAGGGGTGGAAGAAGTACTCAGAAGTAGAAGTACCAGAGTGTAGGAATACTCTGTTTCGAGTAAAAAATCCCGCATTCAAAATCCTAATTCAGTAAAAGCACAAAATGATCGGCATCATAATATACTTAAGTACCAAAATTACTCGTTATGCGTAATGCCTCATTCCATAATTCTACATTAAATTACTCATTGTGTAAAGGTGGTAAAGGTGTTTGTATATACTTTATATACTGCTGCTGGATATCTACACCTATAATTATATGTAAAGTATATTAAATAATTGACATTCTATTGAGCTAATGTGAATCTGTAAAGTAACCATATTCTGTAAAAAGTACAATATTGGCTTCTAAATTGTAGTGGAATAGAAGGATTAAGTAGCAAAAAATGGAAATGCTCAAGTAAAGTACCTAAACAAAATTTACTTGAGTAAATGTACTTAGTTACTTCCCCCCTCTGCCTAACACTATACATTGAGCAAGAACAAAGCCACACCTATGGCTCGGTCTGAGGAGGAGATGGAAGTACAGGGGTGTAATTATCTAAATACAAGAGGGGGGGTTCGGCTGCACACAGGGAAATAGCTGACCCAGCTTTTTAGTTTTTTTCAGGGCTCATTATTCAGAGATAAAGCTGAAGTGGCAAAGATTAAGCGCCAACTATTGCAGCGATTTAGTTGGAGGATAAGGACGCTCTGTGCATGAATGAGCAGCCAGATTTCAAAATATTGCAAATTAAAAACCACACAGGCCTCACATTTGCGTGGGAGCCGGCCATAAAGTCAAACTAGGTAAATACAGAAGAGGAAGCAAGGGATACACATTGTCTGTAGATAAAAGGTTGATCATTTCCATAGTTATCGTTGAGCAAAGGCAGCTTAAAAGAGGATCTCATTGCAGATTGAGAAAGGTGTAATTACCAGAACTGCTATGATACACAAGAGACACCCAGGGAAAAGGAGCATTTTACAGTAATACCCTTAATTAACATGGCATTTATAGTGATGATCTTGGGGGGTTTGTGGAACAGAAAGGACCCTCTCACTGCTTCTAAAATGTCAAACTAAGGAATGTTTCTACAGGTTGGACAACACCTTTTTTACCTCCTCCAGAACAACCTTTATGGCAGGCTGTAAATCAAAGGGCAAAGAGGAACATGACACCAGAGAATGACATTTCTATTTTTTGGTGTAGCCTCCAGCCAGCTGCTGGGTGAACTACACCTACTGTACAGCTGCTGCTTAAGGAACATGTAAAGCAAGTTTTCTATACTGTAGTGTTACATATGGCTGCTGCATTAACACTGGGTTCATGGGAGGAATAACAAGGGGGGAAGCTGCTTTTCTGATGACGCAGCACGACGCTGAGTCAACACATTCTCACACTAGGGTCTTTTAAAAAGCGAGAAAAACTAAAAAAATTGCGAAAAAATTGCGTTAAGTTGGTTAAACACAGCCTAAAATATATTGTCCATGTGGATAACGTGAATGGCGACACAGGATGCGTAATGGCTATCCAGAAAAACACACTATAAAGGCAAAAATAAGCATTAACACACACACATTTACTCTGAAAATACGCAACAATGTTAAACACATAACACCTGATACAACTGGCTCTCAATAAGCAAGCACATTTTTTTCCGCACAGGAATGGATACAGTGCAACACCGAGAGATTCCGTGCAACAACACGCACTACAATAGTCGTCTTATCTTTAACATACCCGGCACAAACACCCGCGCATAATGACAAATCGGGTTTATTAAGCTCCCATGCGGATCAGAAAGAGAGAGTAAATACTGCAAGAAAAGAGGAGATTAAATAAAAGGATCTACCATCTTACCTAGGCGGTGCTGTGTTTCAAAATGGTAGCGCCTGCTTCCGTTTGCATGTCGGGCATTCTGCTGGAGAGGAGGGGGAGGGCTGCTGCTGCACCAGAGGATGCTCAATACCAGTAATAACACAAAGTGCACAGACACAGTACACAGACAGTCTGAAGCAAGAGGTGGAAGAAGTACTCAGATCTTAGTAAAGGACCACCACACACTGTGCACTAACCCTGCCTGTAAAACGATGTGCAATAGACCTTCAATATACCTTTCTCTCAATTTATTTACAACCACTATCTTTTTATTATATATGGTCACTTTTTTATAAACATACTGATACTTTTTTTTTGACAATGATTTATGTTTTTTTACGTAGTGTGTTTTTATTATTATTAATAATGTGTGCATATGTAGCCTAAGTCTATTCTCTTGTCTTTATCTGCAGTTCACTTCTGCTGTTGTAATAATGTACTTTTCTCCTTTTCGGGAAAAGTAAAAGAAGTAGAAGTACTTATTCATATTGGCCCATTTCAGAATATATATTACATGTATATATTGAAATATAAAGTCCCTCAAAGTTGTACTTAGGTACTTGAGTAATGTCCTAAGTTACTTTACACCACTGTTTTAATCATCAAAAGCCACTAGAAGAACAAAGGCGGCCTTCTTTATAGCCATAGGGGTTCAGTTCCAATGGGAGTTTAATCAAAGAGCTAATTGATCTGCTATGAACAATATATATCACATTTGCTTAAGAGGACAGATCAAGTGCGAAATTACTGCTAATGACACACAGCTTCAAGCAGGAAATGAGTCAGCAAAAAAACAACACATTCACTTGTTCTAGTTTCTTAAATGTTCCAGTTTTTCTGATTTATATCATTTTCTTTGATTAAAAGTTGGAGAAAAAACAGAGTTTTAAAGAAAACAGCACATTTCCACCATTTCCCAAAACGTATAGATTCAATTATTAATTGAAAATACTCCAGGCGTGAATCGATAATTTGAACAAACATCGATTGTACATTCAAGTTGTGTTCGCAGCCCTCAGACACAGATGGAAAAAGACACCAGCGAGTGGACATTTGGGGGAAATTCAATAAGCCTATTCATGCACCACCAGGACAAGGCAGATGCTCAATTTGCTAGAAAATCAATGCAAAACTGGCTACACACTCTCATATGGACAAAAGATTGGGCACACACACTGCCGATATTGATGTCTTCATCAAGAGTTAGCAGAAATCAACAAGTGGCCAGAGGTAGAGGTTTTACGTTATTAGGGCCGGGACTCGATTAAAAAAATTAATCTAATTAATTAGAGGCTTTGTAATTAATTAATCGAAATTAATCGCATTTTTAATCACATATAAATATTTGACCTAAGAACAGTGAGAAGCAATTTTTTTCACATGGATTTTAGTATACCATTATGCGCATTCACACCGCAGTACTTTTCCCACAAAGGTTCATGAGAACTTAGTTCATGAGAACTCTTTGAACCTGGGGGTGGATTAGTCAAATTAAGCCGCTGACGTCACTTCTTCTTCTTCTGCTTTGGGTTTACTGGCAGGCCGCAAACCACTTCACGGCGTATACTGCCGCCCAAAGTCCCCGGCCGGAAGTCCCCGGAGTTGGGGACTGGCTTCAGTAGAAGCTGCTGGGAGTCCCAGCAGCCTTCCGAGTAAATCGCCAGAACGCCGACACCTCCTCATCTCCACCGCTCCCATGTTTTATTTTGTGTTGCCATAAGTTAGTCTCTCTGCGTTTCTGCGCTGGGCTAATGCTAATAATGCTAATGTGAGGATAATAAAATGGCGGCTTCACAAAACTTTTTGGGAGTTTTACGGGGCGTGGTTTGCAATCCGCCCAGCCAATCAGAAATATAGCTCTTTTCTCACAAGAGAGCCGTACGAAAGTCCCTGCTCTCTAGCAGCTCTCTGCTCTCTAGCAGGGACTTTCGTGGGGGTAAAAAGGTTCTCATGAACTAATTTTAGTACCGGCTCTTTTTGGTGTGAACGCGATAAAAGAGGCTAACGTCCACGCTAGCTGCTATATGTTTTGCATTGAGGTGATACTTGAGGCTTGATGTGCTGCGGTGATATGCGAATTCCTTTTTGCATAATTTGCACACAACCGTGCTCTTATCGACGCTTCCATCCGTCCGTTTTTTAAAACCACATTTCCCACTGTTGTTCACTGTGGTTTGTTGTTGTCTAAAGTCATGAACGTTAGTTGGTGCTCCAGTATAATCGGTACGCCTGAAACTCATCCAGTGAGAAACGTTCCGCGGTGCAAAAATAAGTGCGATTAAAATGCGTTAATTTTTTTAACGCGTTAATTGTTGTGTAATTAATTAATCTTAATTAACGCGTTAAAGTCCCGGCCCTAGTTATTATATTATACTTCAATCATCAAGACAATACAGCCGTTGATTTGAAGCCCATTGTCAGTTTTTCTGTAAGGTAATTGTACACTCAGTCTCCATGTTGTGAAGACAGCTGAGGGAACAGTCCTTCAAGGAAGCCCCCCCTCAAACTTTAACCCTCCCTCGGCCTTTCACTCTTGGTGGAATTTGACTCTCTCTCTCTCGAGCTCTTTTAAATCTCTCATAGCCGAGTCACTCACACCACCTTATGGATTCAAAATGAACACACCAATGGTGGACAAAAGTGAGGTCCAAATTCAGCTAACGGCGACACAGATTTCCACATTATTTACGTCTATCACACTCTTATTGTGACCCTTCATAGATGGATTTCTTTAAGATGTCACATTGGGATTCATCCATGTGTGGACATGTGAATCCATAACTTTGGGATTGTCAATGTTTAGGCTACAGTTACTACCAGGAGTGCCCATCATTTGATGTTTCCACCAATTGTCCTACATTTTAGGTTTGTATTTTGACTTTTCTGTAGCCTTTCCGGGTATTTTTTCAATGCATTCTCAATAAAAACAAAGTGTTACAGGTTACTTAGGTTGAGAAAGTCTACATGACAGTGAATATACTAAATATTAGCATGATACCGCTTTGTAATCCCATTTGTGTGTTGATTTTCCTCTTAATAGTTACTCCTACTGTTTTTAGGAGGCGTATATAATTAAAGTAGACATTTTGAATGCCAGACTACAGCGCATTCATCCCAGCCAATACATCCAATGAGACAGTGTGTTAGAGAGGACTGGTTATACAAACATATTCACTGACATCTAGCTAATCAAAGGTGACTTTCACAAAGTCCCATGTGGATTTAATCTGCTTTAGAATCCTCAGAGGACACAGACTGCGACCGCAGGAGGATTTGATTTTGACACAAAGAAAGAAATCATGAAACTAAGGCATTTTATCTTTGGTCGTCCGTCCAGCTGTGTGTAGACGTTTTCCTAAGTACTCTTTGTTTTCCTCGCTTCAGCTTTGACCCTCTGTCAGCAAATGTCCTCTGCATTTCTTTCCGATGTGCCCTTTACTGTCCACAGGTTAGAGATATGATCGGTGTTTGTGTCTCAGGTTCAGAGGTGTGCAGCGGGGGTCTCTGTGCTGGCTTTGCTCCGGCCTTTCCCTGCGATGGGCCGGTCTCTCTCCTCCCACAGCGTGACCCCGTCACACGCACAAATCTGTTTTGCATTTTGGAAAAGACCTGCTGATCGGGCGATGATCCCACAGGCCAGTCTGCAGAGGAGAGACATAGAGAGAGTTTAAAAACAATTAAAAACCCTGCTTCAAAAGGCCAGCAATTCCTTAAATACAGCTTTAAAGAATGCTCATCAATAATTCATAATAATTAGTCCCAACCTTGAACCTAGTAGTTTAACAAAGCTATCCAATTTTGTTCAATTGAAATGCAGTTAGTACAAACTACCTTTCTTTAAATAATTAACTCAATCAAGTTTAAAGAAGCACAATTAAAAAAAATTAACTAGTGCATCACGTATATTAAAACCGACTTATAACAATTTATACGCTTTCGACAATAACAATATTGAAAAGGAGTCCTTAAAATGCTTTAAGGAGCAAGTGCCCGGCTGAGGCTACTCCTCCCCCTTCACATTATTGCGTGCACCACCATGTGAAACCCCTGCTTTTGACCCACCTTTTCCCAGAGGTCCCGGTCTGTTTGGAGACAGGGTGATCGCCCCGACCCAGGTCATCCTCCCCCGCATCGACCACCAGCGACCGGCCAATCACATCCCACACCTGCAGCCAGCACCAAGGTGAAGAAGAGGTTACAAATATGTCATCTGGTGTTGTTTAATGTGGATTTATGACAGGCTTAAGATGTTTTTAATAAAGCTAGGGCTGGCTCAGGCTTACATTAACCCAGCCCTTAGTTATGCTGCTATAGGCTTAGATAGCAGCATAACTAAGTGCGAGAGACTTTCACCTTTTCACTCTCTTTTCCTATTTTTCTCTCCATCAATCTCCATGTTCATGTTCCATAAATGCCTGTTACTAACTCAGCATCCTGGGCATCATGATTGTATTTTGATGGGTTTCTTTGCAAGCTTTTCCCTGTGCGCTGTGAGGGTCCAAGCGCAAAGGTAAACATATGTTGTGTAGACTGTGAACTGTGTGTGTGTGTGTGTGTGTGTGTGTGTGTGTGTGTGTGTGTGTGTGTGTGTGTGTGTGTGTGTTACCTTTATCTGACTGTCCTCTTGTCTAAATGAAGCCCTGCCATCTGGTCCTGCGACAATATTTCCCAGATCACCGACATGCTGCGCGACAACGACACACATTGAATAAATAACACAAGGAGTACACAGCATGTGTGCCAGGGAACACTGCGGCAAACTTGTAGCTCTGTCACACATTTAATAGACAATTTAGCACCTGAACTGCTCACAAGGGCTCCTGTGGGACATATTTGGCGAGTATCACATCATTTATTTGGCTTGTGTTGACATGTTATTGAATCTCAGGAGTGATTTTGTCAGAATTTATGGAGAAGAAGACCAATTATTAATTTACTTCTTTTATAAATGTTCTGATAGAAAATGATCTACAGTATGGGGCAATAAAAATGAACAAGCAGGAAGTTATTTTCATAGAGTTATAAGATAAATATATGGCTGTACCCTTTCAGAATCCCCTGGACCGCCGTGTTGTCTTCCAAAGGGGTTATAGTGCTCTCCACAACTATAAAAACAGAAATGCATTATATATAATTAAATATAAGTTAACAAAACTTGTCTGCAGTGCAATTTCACGTGTGCTTTAGCTGTCAATGTCTCGATTGCTGTCGATTGTCCATCACTAACAATGACAAGACACTTCAAAATGGATCATTCTTCAAATCTGTATTTTAGCCACACAAAAACTATAAAACTTGAGTTAGTTGTAGCGTTTGTGTTATTGTGTGACTACGGTTCTTCAGAGGGTTATTCTGGACACACTAAATTCACATAAAAACACAAAAAAAAACGAACTAATCCAGACAGCTATATATGGTAACTCTCGTGTTGTGTGAGGTAGAATTACTGTTGTTTTCTCAATGGAGTCTGGTGGCTATAGAGAGAGCACAGATAACAACTTCAGTTTCTCGTTGGAAAGGGCTGTGTAGGGGAGATAAGGCAGGGACACAGGAAAAAGAAATGTCTACCATTAGAGGGTCGGTATCCCAAGACAGTCAATATGTTGGAAGTGGCAATATACTTAACCCCAAATCACTCCTGTAGCAATGTCTACGGTAAGTGTGTGAAAATCCCTTTGGATTACCATGTAATGTAATGTAACATCCATCCATCCATCCATCTTCTCCCGCTTATCCATGGTTGGGTCGCGGGGGTAGCAGTTCCAGCAGAGAGCCCCAAACTTTCTTTTCCCTGGCGACATCAACCAGCTCTGACTGGGGGATCCCAAGGCGCTCCCAGGCCAGCGAAGAGATATAATCCCTCCACCTGGTCCAAGGTCTACCCCTTGGTCTCTTCCCAGCTGGACGTGCCTGGAACACCTCCCTAGGGAGGCGCCCAGGTGGCATCCTAACTAGGTGCCCGAATCACCTCAACTGGCTCCTTTCGACGCGAAGGAGGAGCGGCTCAACTCCGAGTCCCTCCCTGATGACCGAACTTCTCACCTTATCCCTAAGGGAGACACCAGCCACCCTGCGGAGAAAACCCATCTCGGCCGCTTGTATCCGCGATCTCGTTCTTTCGGTCATGACCCATCCTTCATGACCATAGGTGAGGGTAGGAACGAAAATGGCCCGGTAGACAGAGAGCTTTGCCTTCTGGCTCAGCTCCCTTTTCGTCATAACGGTGCGGTAAAGCGACTGCAGTACCGCTCCCGCTGCTCCGATTCTCCGGCCCATCTCACGCTCCATTGTTCCCTCACTCGAGAACAAGACCCCGAGATACTTGAACTACTTCACTTGGGGTAAGGACTCATTCCCTACTTGGAGTGGACAGTCCATCGGTTTCCTGCTGAGAACCATGGCCTCAGATTTGGAGGTGCTGATCCTCATCCCAGCCGCTTCACACTCGGTTGCGAACCGATCCAGTGAGTGCTGAAGATCGCAGACCGATGAAGCCATTAGAACCACATCATCTGCAAAAAGCAGTGGTGCAATCCTTAGTCCACGGAACTGCAGACCCCCTCCCCCATGACTACGCCTCGAAATCCGATCCATGTATATTACAAACAGAATTGGTGACAAAGCGCAGCCCTGGCGGAGGCCAACCCTCACCGGAAATGGGTCCGACTTACTGCCGAGGACCCGGACACAGCTCTCGCTTTGGGAGTACAGAGATTGGATGGCCCTGAGTAGAGACCCCCTCACCCCATACTCCCGCAGCACCTCCCACAGTAACTCCCTGGGAACTCGGTCATACGCCTTCTCCAAGTCTACAAAACACATGTAGACCGGATAAGCGTACTCCCAGGCCCCCTCCAGGATCCTTGCGAGAGTAAAAAGCTGATCCGTCGTTCCACGACCAGGACGGAATCCGCATTGTTCCTCCTCAATCTGAGGTTCGACAATCGGCCTGACCCTCCTTTCGAGTACCTTAGAGTAAACTTTCCCGGGGAGGCTGAGTAGTGTGATGCCTCTGTAATTGGCACACACCCTCTGATCCCCCTTTTTTAAAAAGGGGAACCACCACCCCGGTCTGCCACTCCTTCGGTACTGTTTCCGACTTCCACGCAACGTTGATGAGACGTGTCAACCATGACAGTCCCACAACACCCAGAGCCTTCAGCATTTCTGGGCGGATCTCATCCACCCCCGGGGCTTTGCCACTGTGGAGTTGTTTGACGACCTCAGTGACCTCCCCCCGGGAGATTGGTGTTGATCCCCCGTCATACTCCAGCTCTGCCTCTAACATAGAGGGCGGAGTTGTCGGGTTCAGGAATTCCTCAAAGTGTTCCTTCCAACGCCCTAACACTCCATCAGTTGAGGTCAACAACGTCCCATCCTTACTGTACACAGCTTGGATGGTTCCCTGCTTCCCCCTCCTGAGGTGTCGGACAGTATTCCAGAACAACTTTGGTGCCGCCCGAAAGTCCTTCTCCATGTCTTCTCCGAACTTCTCCCACACCCGCTGCTTTGCCTCGGCCACGGATGAGGCTGCTGCCCTTCGGGCCTGTCGGTACCTTGCAACTGCCTCGGGAGTCCCCCGGGATAACAAATCCCTGAAGGTCTCCTTCTTCAGTCGGACGGCTTCCCTGACCACTGGTGTCCACCAGGAGGTTCGAGGGTTACCGCCCCTTGAGGCACCTAGGACCTTGAGACCACAGCTCCCCGCCGCGGCTTCGGCAATAGAGGCTTTGAACACCGACCACTCTGGTTCAATGTCCCCAACCTCCACAGGAATGTCCGAAAAGCTCCGCCGGAGGTGTGAGTTGAAGGCCTCCTGAACTTGGGCCTCCTCCAGACGTTCCCAGTTCACCCGAACTACACGTTTGGGCTTACGAGGTCAATCAATCAATCAATCAATGTTTATTCATATAGCCCAATATCACAAATGTTACATTTGTCTCAGTGGACTTTACAGTTTGTACAAAATATCAGTATGACAATACGACACCCTCTGTCCTTAGACCCTCACATCGTACAAGGAAAAACTTCCGAAGAAAACCCACAGTTTAAAGGGAAAAATGGGAGAAACCTCAGGGAGAGCAACAGAGGAGGGATCCCTCTCCCAGGACGGACAGACGTGCAATAGATGCCGTGTGTAAATTGAAAAGATAATACATTTGCAACATAGGTAGTCCAAATTAGGGCTGTGCGATTATGGCAAAAATCATAATCACGATTATTTGGGTCAATAATTGATATCACGATTATTTTGACGATTATTCATTGACCATTTATTGAACTTTAAAACAAATAATATTTTACCAATAAACAAGATCAACAAATATGTTGGAGCGCTCTTCCAAAACCATACTAAACATATATTATTAATATCATAAATAAAAATAAATTAGACCAAAATAAATGAAATCAAACATGTTGCAGTGCACTGTCACAACCTACTGAAAACTCCTTAACATATAGCCAACATGTTGGTAAAACATATTCCACTCAGTTAAACGTTGAAGGCTGGCCAACCGTCATGGTCCAGAAGTAACAGGAAATAAATGTTGAACTACAATTTAAGACCAAATAAAAATGTTTAGGCCACCATGGCAAATGCTAGTAGGGCTGCTCATGTCATCTCTTAAAGATGTTTTGCAAGAAACACCAGGCTGTTTACATGGTCTGGTTTCAGAGATGAGCGCAGGCAGGTGACGATATTGCCACCTGTACTGAAGACCCTCAGCCACGCCCCGACACATGGGGTGACGCCGGCCAATCACAAAGCTTTGATGCGTTCAAGTGCATTATTCTGGCACAGGAAGATTATGTTACAGGACATAAACGATAAAACAGAATATTGTTGTTCTATTTTTAGACACATCTCGCGATCGACTGGTTGGGCACCCCTGGGCTAGACCATAGGTCCGTTGTGGTGGCAAAGTAGTCAGCTGAAGCCACATGTCTCTCAACTTCCCCACGGCATTTGTCACATAATACCGAATGAAATAATACCGAGACAGCATCGCGTAACGCTTGTCCAACGTGTTGACAAGTTGCTTAAAGCCCTGGTTGCTAACAGTGCTAACTGGGCACATATCTTTAGCGATGTGAAATGTAATGGCACCTGTAATATCTCTGTGTCTCTGCGAGCTCGTCGCGTAGGCCGTTGCTCTGTACAATGCGTCCAGAATCGATGACTGTGATGATGTGGTGGATGAAGTCGAGCGGCATCTGCTTTTTGTTGTATTATTGCCCGGTCGTATTGCACTTTGTGGTTGTATTTCAGATGATTAAAGAGATTGGTTGTGTTAGCGTGTGGTGCCAACACAACCTGATAACAAATCCTGCACTGTAGGCCTACTTTCTTTTGCTCCACGTCGGACTCCTGAAAGCCAAAGTACTTCCAAATAGTGGAAATAGTTGTACCCTTCTTTTTAACGAGTTGCTGCTCTTGTTCTGACATCTGCGCTTGCGCTGAACACTCACAACACATGTCACTCCCACGTGGCCGAGTGGGCTTTTAGGGAGGGGCAAAGCGCACCCAGCAAAATAATCGTATTTTGTCAATTATGCTGTTTTCATAATCGTCGCAAGCCATAATCGTAATCGCGATTAAAATACGATTAATTGCACAGCCCTAGTCCAAATGTTTGGAAATGCATGTGTGTATAATAGGAAGATGAATCCACGAGGACATCCATCCAGGACCTATGATCCAGGACCACAGCCACGACTCAAGATCCGGGACAGAGGAGCGAAGGATCATCCATGACTCCGGATCCCGGCGTATACAGACACCAAAAAGAAAGACATTTGGGGAAGCTGGGTTAATCGGAACATGAGAGTACACAGGTATAGACAGAGAGAAGGAAGAAGTAAGATGTCCCCCGACAAACTAAGCCTATATCAGCAAAACTAGGGGCTGAATCTAATCAGCCCTAACTATAAGCTTTATCAAAAAGGAAGGTCTTAAGCGCACTCTTAAAAACGGATAGGGTGTCTGCCGCCCGAACACAAACTGGAAGCTGATTCCACAAATGTGGAGCTTGATAAGAAAAGGCTCTGGCTCCCATTGTACTTTTAGAGACTCTAGGAACAACCAACAACCCTGCATTCTTGGAACGCAATGCCCTAGTAGGACAGTAGGGTATAATGAGTTCTTTAAGGTAAGATGGCGCCTGCCCATTAAGGGCTTTGTAGACCAGGTCTATCCAGAGGCTTCCCCCGCCACTCGACCCAACTCACCACCAGATGGTGATCAGTTGACAACTCCGCCCCTCTCTTTACCCGAGTGTCCAAAACATACGGCCTCAGGTCCGATGATACGAAATCGATCATGGACCTTCTGCCTAGGGTGCTCTGGTACCACGTACACTTATGAGCATCCTTATGTTCGAACATGGTGTTTGTTATGGCCAATCCATGACTAGCACAGAAGTCCAGTAACAAACCACCACTCCGGTTCAGATCAGGGGGGCCGTTCCTCCCAATCACGCCCCTCCAAGTGTCTCCATTATTGCCCACATGTGTTGAAGTCTCCCAGCAAGATTAAAGAGTCCCCTTCAGGAGCCCCATACAGGACTCTTTCCAGGGTCTCCAAGAAGGCCGTATACTCTGAACTGCTGTTGGGTGCATAAGCACACACAACAGTCAGAGTTTTCCCCCCCATAACCCGCAGGCGTAGGGAGGCCCTCTCGTCCACTGGGGTAAACTCCAACAACGAAGCACCTAACCGGGGACTTGTGAGTATCCCGACACCCGCCCGGCGCTTCACACCTTGAGCAACTCCGGAGAAGAATAGAGTCCAACCCCTATCCAGAAGTAAGGTTCCAGAGCCGACGCTGTGCGTAGAGTGAGCCCAACCAGATCCAACTGGTAACCCTCCACCTCCCGCACAAGCTCCGGCTCCTTCCCCCCTAGAGAGGTGACGTTCCACGTCCCCAAAGCCAGCTTCTGTCGCCCGGGTCTGGTCCGTCGAGACCCTCCGCTTTCACTGCCACCCTTCTGGCAGCGCACCCGACCCCATCGCTGTTTCCCGTAGGTGGTGGGCCCGCGGGACGGAGAAGCGGAGGTGTTGCCCACGTTGCCTTTTCGGGCTGGGCCCGGCCGGGCTCCGTGGCAAGCCCGGCCACCAGACGCTCGCCGACGAGTCCTCCTTCTGGGCCTGGCTCCAGAAGGGGACCCTGGGCTTCCTCCGGGCCGGGTATCCTCACTTCTTGTGTCGTCTTTCATGAGGTCTTTTGAACCAATCTTAGTCTGGCCCCTTGCCTGAGACCAATTTGCCATGGGAGACCCTACCAGGAACACAAGGTTCCAGACAACACAGCCCCCAGGTTTCATCAGGGCACACAAACCTCTCTACAAGCGGTAAGGTGTTAAGAGTGTAACATGATATTCTAAATATATAGGAAACATTAACTCATACATTTCTATTAAAATGTCTAAAATGTGTTTTTGTGCTGCCACTGTCCACAGTCGCTCATTGCTTTGCTTCCTCTCTCTAAACTCCTGTCTGCTTCTCCAAAATGGGGGCATATATGTTACACTGACTACGGATAAGTACCTCATACAGTGCCACTCGAAAACACTCACACTATCCCCTTTAACCGGAGCAGCCTGTTCACCCACTCCCTGTTACCTGAGGCAGTCCTGGGTCAGGTCCCCCAGGGTGTGGACGTGGAGGCCGTGGGGTCCGGGCTCCAGCCCATCAATGGTCCCATCGATCAGGCACTGCTGCTCCGACAGCTGCAGGAAGCGCACCACCCCCTGGATCCTCCCCCCGCCCGCCAGCATGGCCACCGCTGAACCCAGGTCTGTCAGAAACACACAGACGTAATGAACAATTTGCACGATTAAAAAAAGTACTTTATAATCCAATTTATAAATTGTAATAAACATGTTATATATTGTGGTACAACGAGCACATTTTTACTTTGGCTTCCTATATTTGTTATAAATGTCTTTTTTTTCAATTCTATATCTTTTACATTTTACCTATAATGTACTTAAGGCTCCCTGTGGGTTTTAGAGACCCAGACTGAGGGATTTTGGCTATAAAACACAGATGAAAACAATGCTGGTTTTAGTTTGTTAGACTTCAAAGATGCAGACAATGGGTTTTGATGAGACCAAACAAAAGTAACGTGCAAAGCGGCTCAGGAAGAAATCCCTCCGGATTATAAAAGACCCCCATCACCCCAGCCACAAACTGTTTTGTCTGCTGCCGTCTGGCAGGCGGTACCGCAGCATCCGGACTAAAACCACCAGACTCAGAGACAGTTTCATCCCACAGGCAATAAGACTGTTAAACAACTGAACTGTTGAAACAACATCCATAACATTCATCTGCTACTTAGTAATTATTTATCTATTTATCTAATATATCATTCCAATAACTTGCATATAGACTCTTATTGCACTATTTCACTTTTTAAACTATTTTTCTTTTTGTATTTACTATTTACTTGCACTATATTTGTCTGTTTATCTGTTATTGTGTTGCACTGTTGGAGAAGCCTGTGACCTAAGATTTTCATCGGCATAACTACACTGTAGCTATGTTCGTATGACAAAATAAAGAACCTTGAAACTTGAAGATGTATCCTGACACACACTTTTCTGTTTATGTGTATGTATATGGTTTTACTTTTTTCACCTACCTTGTCTACAATTGATTAAGAAAAAGATGAAATTCATCATGCCAAATCTAAGCTGTTTTTTTGGAACATTTACAACACATGTATTGTACTGTATAAAGGTATGGCGGTTTGATTCCCAGCCGTACTCCTGTCCTGCAGTTTCTCACCTTGCTCTGATCCTCCCATGCCTTTCAGCACGGCTCTGCGTCCGGTGCTCTCGATCAGAGCCTGCACCTCTGCAGTGGTGAGAGTGGAATCCACCAACACCTCCTCCTTACCCACATCCACACTGACAGACGTCACTCCTGCAAACACAATCATAGCAGTGATACATTATCCTCTGATATATATATAACATATCAAAAGACAGAGAAATTACAAGAACTATATAAATATTAAAGAGAATAGTCCAAGCCACTCATCAAGCAACATGACAAACATTATCTGAAATGTGAGGCTGCTTTTCTGCCTTATGCGGAATAACATAAATCGAAAGCCTTTTCTATTTATCACGTAGTTTCTCTTCCTGTCGGTTGCACTGAAGTCAACATTGGATTTCTGGGGGAAAGATCTAAAACATTAGGTAAAAGTTAAAAAGGTGTTATGCTGATTTCCAGGATGATGATCTTCTCCCGCTTATCCGTGGTCGGGTCTCGGGGTAGCAGTTCCAGCAGAGAGCCCCAAACGTTCCTTTCCCTGGCCACATCAACCAGCTCTGACTGGGGGATCCCAAGGCGCTCCCAGGCCAGCGAAGAGATATAACCCCTCCACCTGGTCCTACACCCTAAACCCAAGTGGATATTCATTCATAAAATAAGAAACATTACTGTGCATGTGTCTTGCATTTAATACTTGCCTGTAGACATATGGCATCTCCAGCTGATTTGCTGTGCACAAAATGTGTCTATGTAACACAAGTTTGGGATTAATTCGGATTACAAAATGTGAAGTGTAACAATTGAAAGTTATCACTGACTATGACTTGTGCCAAGTTACACAGTTATTTTGAGGTAACTTCCTATGAAGGTGTTAGGGACTTGTAAAGGTGGAACATGTTACTTGTAGATTTAGGCGCCAGTGTAAAGCTCTTTACTTGCTAGAAAGGGTTCTATATAGAGAATTGTGCTTTGCTGAGTAATAAGATATACTTTGCACTGGAATGCATGAATAAAGTCCAACAGCCATAAACTAGTGACAGATAAAAGCTCTCTGACATGCTTTGTTATGGTCATTATTTGTACTATTTCAGATATACCGTTTCAAAGAGCTGTCAGTTCCAGATGACTAAGAGCAGTTACTGTACATAGAGCTGTTTCAGAGGCTGCATACATTAATAACGTAGACCTTTGAATGCTTTGATACCTGGTTTTCCCTCCAGAGCAGCTCTGACTTTAACTGCGCAGCTCTCACATGTCATCTGCACTGCAAACTCCAGCTGAGGAAGAAACATAATAATGTTATACAGCTAATAATATAAGGATAATGTACAATCCGTGACAGCAGTGTATACATAGCTCGTTATATAACACAGCAGTTTCAGCAGTTAGAACACGCAACAGCAGCTGAATAAGGCATGTTTTTGTCTCGAATCTATTATTTTTACGGGTATTTTATTGTAATACAGACTTAAAATATGATTAAGAATTGCTGTCTAACCTTGGTTGGCCCCACAGAGTCCATTTTGGCACTGCACGTCGCTGCCTGCGCAATGCAAACCGAATTAAATAGTAAACTTCCCACTTTTCTCGAAACGGAAGCGAACCAGCTGTAGCTGCTGATGGGCGCCGCCATGTTGGTGAGGTCACGTTGACGTCACAGCACGTTACCGCCGCCACGCGCCTACTACTTGCAACCGCAGCTGCAACCATCAGTTTTTACTTTTGTAGAAGAATAATTACTTTCTCATGTTTTTATTCCCTATAAACAATGATATGGATAACTTCTCATATAATGTCACAGCATATTTCGTTTTTCATATACTAATATCATTATGTATTGTCATATTGTGCATTTTTTTGAGAACTTGTAATAGTTAAATTAAACAGAAAGGTATGTGAACAATTTAGTAAATAACATGTCTTAAAAATCATAGCACAAGTCCATAGTTGAAACATTTCTGCTTATGTATTCCACCAACGTTTCAAATTTCGGAAAGATTGCTTTTATGCAACCGTGAAACAAAAAGTAGCCTAATCAATGGCTGCCTTTAGATTGTGCCAGTAAGAAAATGAAAATCAGTTATGTAGGCTAATAAAAGGGCAGAATAATGCAAAGTATATAAAATGAGACAAACTGCAAGGACGAACAGCATATGCGATCGGTTTTTCAGAAGATTGTAGCGTATGAAAAAACCACCATGAAGGTTGCGAGCAGTAAAAGTGATTGCTTTCAATTCAATTTCATAATGTGTATAGATTATTGTTACAAAGTCGTTCTGCAGATTAGAGCCCTGGGTTCAGTATGCGAAGGACCACCACTAAGCTGATGACCATTGTGTGTGTGTGTGTGTATTATACATCCCTATCATATCTCTTTTCATC